TTCATCCCTTCTTCTATGCACTCTATACTGTCTCTGTCTGGGTTTGACACTTTCCCTGTTGAAGATGTAACTGGATCCTCTCCACTGCAGTGTGAGGGCAATGCTGCCTATCTTACATATCTAAAACCCCCAGGGGACTAGAGAATGTACCTTCCTGTCTAATCATCTGCACAACATAGTGCATATATTAAGCTGGGTCAAAGATGACCTGGGTTCAAATCCTACCTCTGCCACTCACTATCTGTAGAACTCAGAAGTTTGTTTTTATTTTAATCACTTTATTTACTTACTTACTTTTATGTGCTTTGCCTGCATGTCTGTGTACTATGTGCATGCATGGTGCCTCAGAGGCCAGAAGAGGGCGTCAGATCCCCTGGGACTAGAGTTGCAGATGATAGTAAGGCCCTATGTGGGTGCTTGGAATGGAACCCAGGTCCTCTGCAGGAGCAACCAATGCTCTTAACTACTGAGATGTCCATCTCTCCAGCCCCATGAATGTATTTCTTAAGCCCTTCCGATCTCATTTTCTATGAGTAAATTAGAGGTGGTAATTTGGGTGCTTGTGATAGTTGTGGCCTTTAAATGAGACTAAGCCCTTAGAAGGAGGCTGAGCCAAGAGAAAGTACACAATAGCTATTAGAAGGCCAAAATGCAGTGAGCATATATAGGAACAACCCTTGTGCTACATAAAACAGCTAATGTTACTGGGGAGCCAGAGAAAGATACTTTGAACTAACTCAGATTAACACTGATGTTCAAAAAACAGAAAACTCCCTTTTTCCTTCCTCAATCTAGTCTCCAGCTAATCCTGAAATTGCATGCAACCTGATGTGAATCAAATAAAAAAGGAAAATAGTAATTACGCTGAATCAAATATTTTATATTTATACATTCTAAAAGAGATTCAACTGCAGAAGCCAGAACTGCTACTAAGTTCTTTTTTGAGCACACCCGGAAGATAGTTGCTTTAATACTTAAGACACAGGCCCTGGGGCTCAATAAGATCCTCTCAGATGAAACAAACTGATGATACCGATAGATTAAGAGATCACAAATTCAGTAACAAAATCCAACCCACGCCAGGCAATGGTGACACACACCTTTAACCCCAGCACTTGGGAGGCAGAGGCAGGCAGATCTCTGTGTGTTCAAGACCAGCCTGGTCTACAGAGCAAGTTCCAGAACAGCCAGAGCTACATCATGAGACCCTGTTTCAAAAGAAAACAACAAAAATCCAACTCAGCAGAAAGAGGACAACACAAACCTTGTCTCATTTACATTAAAATCTCAGTATCTCTCTCCTTCCCTTCCCCACTCTGTCCCAACATAAGTCATTCCCAGAATCCTTTGAGATACACATGCAAGCATTTTCAAGTGTAGGTACATGTTCCCAGATGCTTTGCTCATGAAGATAAATGGAGCAGGAAACAAAGACTCCAAGATCACAGTGACCAGCACAAAGTTCTCCTTGGTATCATTCAAGTAACCATGAAAAAGAATCTTTTACAAGTCAATACTCTTTCTAACCAAATGCCACGATCTTTAAGACAATTCCAGCAGGCTATTAATGCTAGTTGTTGCATATCATAATAAAATAGTTAGAATTTTAGATAATGTATTATTTTATGGTAACAAACTATCATTAACTATTTAATACTCTAGTCCCAATCCCTTCTCCTTGTTTTTTTTTTTTTTTCTATTTTAGTGCTGGGGGTTGAACATAAGGCCTGGCACATGCTAAGCACATGCTTTACCACTGAGATACCCCCAAGTCCACATTTCTCATCTTACTCACATGGCACTTATCATACTTCTTAGTGCATTTGAAGTATGTATGAATGGCTTATCTCCCTACTACCAGGAAGGTGGGTTTTTTTTTTTGGGGGGGGGGTGAATCTCCTGCCCTTCTTGTTGCCTCTGTGATGCTGAGCACAGAATACTTCACATAGCAGGCACTCCAAAAAGATATGGAGTGCCAATGAAAGCTGCTACAGATGCTTTTGATCACAGCATCTGGACTGGCCATTAAATGGGAAGTATGGAAGTCAAGCACATGGGCAATGCAGGACTTCGCTTGAAAACCCTAGCAAGTTTGTACTTTCTTTCTCTAACATCCTTGAGAACACCTCAAGATCAGATCATCCCAACTATGATCTAGAACTCAGAGTCCTTCAGGACATCTCTTCTTCTCAAAGTCTAGACCTCTAGAAGGCCAAGTGCAAGGCTATCAAGAATAAAATTTCAAGAAGGGGGATAGGATATCTCAGTGGTAGAGCACTTGCCTAGCACATACAAAAACCCGGATAAGATCCTCACCATTCTTTCCAAATGAAACTTTAAACTTGGATTAGCCCAAGGGTCAATGAACTAGTCACCTAGGCACTGCAACACTTAGCCTATAAAATCATCTCTGGCTTTGAAGAAAAGAGATAGTTCTCCCAAATAAAGGGCTTGGCATCTAATTCATTTGGACCTAGGCTGAACCCAAGTCGTTACATTGACTTCCCCACAACTGCCTCCCCAAATGGCCAAAATTATCTGAGGATAGTCCACACAAGATGAGGCTAATGTGCTCTGGAGAGGCCAGGGCGATGATAAAGATTACCCTAATTCTCTACCGGCCGTCTAAAGGTATTTGCTTGGGTCTGTCTGTGTTGTGACAGTGTCCTAGACTCAAATGAATGCCTCTAACACTCCACATTTTTGAGCCATTCAGTCATGCATTTTTGTTATTGTTGAAAGTGGTGCGAAATTGCACTGCATGAGCTCAAGTCCTTGGTGGTCTTCCAAGGATTCCAGCTCAAAAGGCACTTCCTTTGTTCCTCAGGAGAATGCGGTCCAGTAGGTCATTCAAAAGGGGAAATAAAAGCAGCAGCCCTGGGAGGGAGATGAAGGACAAGACAAAAAGAATAAAATGTTTTGGGTGTGAGCACATTAGCTTCCATTTCCTGCTGCTGGTCACTAATAAGTCCCCTATCTTTTTTTGTGGGGGGTGGGGGGCCAGATAGATATTTATGCAAAAATGTACCTCAGGTGTTGTCCAGAGCTGATGACAATCCAAGGGAACACCTAGTGTCCCCGAACACCTTTCCAACTTCCTTTTCCATCAGATGCTGGCTGGGGAAGATGCCCTGACATCTCTAGAGACTGAGCACCACAAACCTGAAGAAACTGGGGAGGGTGATTTCTTAGCCCACTCCTGAAATGCCTCCAGTCCATCTCAAAGGCACATATTGTGTGCAGGAGCAGATGGAAACCTGTCACTTTCCCATTAAGTGCATAGCTGCATGCCTCCCTTCAGAACGTGGGAATGACAACTGTAACCTTCACGGCAATCATCTCTGAAGCATCCAGGCCCAAACTGTGCAGGGCACAAAGACCCCAGGTCTGACCTGCAGAGCCCCCGAGCTTCGGCGACGGCTGGTTCAGTTCTCTTTTACTGGCAGGGCATGAGGAAGAGGGAAAAGAAAGGGGGCTTTTCAGAGCGCTACAACCAATAAAATCATGAGGCTGGGAGGACATACTTGAGCTCCCAAAAAGACAGGCTGCTGAAGGGCAAACGGCCTTTCATCAGTAGCGTGTGAGTTACTTGACAACTGCCAAGGTGCAGTGGACGCCTGGGCTACTACCAACAATTTCTTCAGTTCTATTTCTAGACCGAGGCCGGTTCCACTCTCAAAGTGCCCAGCAACTTCCCTCAATTACTTTTGTAATTTATATGTAATTGATGACTGCACTTAATCTCCAAGGTTATTAATAGCTCTTCCAAAAGATGACCCCCAAGTCTTCCTAAGCCTTTGGAAGCGCCTGGTTAAAATTACAGTATTTCCTTTACTGGCTGCTGGCCCCCTGCCTGCCCCACCCGGGCAACCAGTACGGCGGCGAAGCAAAGACGCACTCTGCACACTTCCATGAAAGGTTCGGAATGGAGGTTTGGCCTTTGGGGCTCGAATCTCTAACTCCTCCGTTAGGTTAAGCTGGCCAACAGCCAGTTAGATTCGTGGTTCTTTCTGAGCCCCTGGGGTGAACAAGCAACCTGTGCCGCTTCGGGCGCCAACCCGCGGGGCTGTGCGCAACAGTTGGCAGCTGCGAAAATCTAGTACACCAGGGAAGGAGGGCTCGCCCAGGAACTGCCACCGCGGGCCTCAGACCTCGCGACCAGGAGAGGAGGGTGTAGCCGTGGTACTGCCTCCCCAGAGCTCCAGGAGGGCTTCCACAAATACCCCACGCACCCCCAGCGCTGAAATCCGGTGAACTTTTTCAGAGGCAAAGCCATCTTCATTTGCATAACCATCTCCAAACTGAGATTCAGGTTTCCTGTAATCAGTCCTTTCAAAGGTCTGTAATTGAAAGTGCAATTAACCCTTAAAATGAGGTGAGAAAAGAAAAAAGGGAGGGAAATACCCTTCTTATCCAACACCTTCCGGAAAGCTGGAGACTTCCCAAGTCAGGATTTGGAAGAGTGGGGAGTAAAGGGGGTCGTTCGCTTTTTAAAGGTGACTTCTAAAGCCTTGCAGCACTGTGTCAGCAGTGGAAGAGAGGCGGGGAGAGGGGGTTTAGGAGAACGTCAATGAACCACTTATTCTCAAGTCGCACGTTTTGCGCCCCAAGGAATCTGCAAACTCCAGGAGGTTCCCCCACCCCGCCCCCACTCGGCCTCGTAGTCACCCACACAACAAAGCGGGGAGCCCAGTAAGGAATTCAACCCGGAAAAGGCAAGAGAGCCCATGGCATGCACTTTGAGGGCCAGAGTCCTTAGTGTCTTCCCGGGACCGAGAAGACTTGGGGGGCTAGGGTGGGGAGGGCCGGGGAGAGCAGCACAGCACCGGAGTGGCACTGGACAAACCGGCGGCGCCCCTCCACTCGCGGTGCCCGCTCCGCGCCGCGGAGCTGGCTCCCGCCTGCCGGTTTCTCCTTCTCGGCTACCTGGTGCGGCACGGGAGGCCGTCCCTTTCCCGGGGTGCCCACCGCTCGGTAATGGGGGGAGAATTCCCACCTACCGTTGATCTCATAGAGCGGGGCATCATTCTTGTTGAAGCCTTTGGACACGTAGAGACGTCGCACTTCCGAGCAACTTTTCGACTTGAGCTCCGCAGCCAGCAGCGAGGCACTGAGCGCGGCCAGGGTGCAGAGAAGCGCGAGTAAGCCTAACCGTGCCATGGTGCGGACCCGGGCGGACGCGCTCCCACCTTTGGGGGACAGAATGAGACCGGATGGGAAGCGGTGCTGCGGAGCGGGCGGAGAGGCGCGGAGTCAAGGACTCACGAGTGGAGCGAGAAACGAGGAGTTGGAGTTGGTAGCAAAGGAGGAGGAGGGCAAGAGGAGGAGACGCGGGCGAAAAGTGGAGCTGGGCCTCGCGTCAGGCAACGGTCCCCCGTGCCAGGCGCCCAGCCAGGGTGGGGTACAAGGAAAAAGGCGTGGAATGGGCACGGGACCCAAGAGAACTAGGACGAGGATCGGTGACCTCGGGGCTCCAAAGACTAGAGATCCCGGGTCAGCTGGCTAGGGGCGGAGGGGCTCAGGGAAGGAAGGGAAGGTGGCAGGCGTCGCAGGAGAGCAGAGTGTGGGCGGCGTCGGCGGGTGATCGCTGGCGCGGGGCTCCGGCTACCCGGCGCTGCTCCGCTCACCCAGCTCGGCTCAGCTCACTGCCCTCGGCCGCACGGTTGTGCCCTTCTCAGCTCTGCGGCTGATTGACTGGCCCGGCTCGCGCAGCGAGGCTCCGCAAACTTGGCCAAGCGGGGCGGCCCTAGGGAGGGAGGGGGCGGGCACTGGGGTGGGGGGGAGCCCGAGACAGGCGGGAGCACGCAGGGCCGGGCCGGGAGAAAACCTGGAAGCTGGGTTGGATCCGGAGCGGGCTAAATCCACTTCCTAGGGGGCCCCGCACGGGGCGCCCGGCACTCCTACTTGCGACACGCCCTGCTGAACTCCTCCCTCCTACCCTCCTCCTCAAGAGGCGGGGAACCTGCCCCCCGCCCCCCGCTAGGAGAGGAAAGGCCAGCTTCTTCCCGCTTGAGGGCCCAAGTCCCTGGGATCCTGGTGGCCTGGGTCTTGGAGCCTTCAGCCTCTGTCTGAGCCACAAGCCTTTCTCCACGGCCACCTGACAGGCTGTTCCTGCGGGCCAAAGCAGCACAGAGCCCTTCAGCCCCAATACCTGCCTCACTCCTGCCACCGGGCATCCAGGGCCTCTCCTAAGCAGCGCCTGGGCAAGGAAGGCACCCACTCCCGTTACTGGCGTTGTTCTGCGCCAAAGAGGGGAGAGACTTGGCCTGAGAGGCTCACCTGGCCTCCCTGGACTAGCTTCCCATCACATGGTGTTCACCCATTAACACAGGCTTGTGCCTAACTCTGGCAGTCATATTCTCATCCCCATACAATGTTCCATTCCCACGCATTGCCCTAGGTTTTGCAATAAATATAAACAAACTCTGAAACTGGCCAGAAAAATATTTGAACCTTGAGTAGATGAAGCTCACTCAAGGTTGCTTGGGAGACCTTTTGGCCCCACACTGCCCTGTGTAGGTATTAGAACTGAGGCGCTGCAGGGAGAAAGGAAACGCTAGTCAGTAGCACTCACCTAAAGGCAATGGGTCCAAAACCCGGACTCGTGAATAAGGAGCCCTGTTGGTCACTGGGAATGTTAGCCCAGGATCTCCAATCCTTCCCAGTCTACATTTAGCCACCAAAAAACAAAACAAAACAAAAAAACTGGGAATGGGTGAGTCTTCCCACCTTCCAAGCTTTGTCAGATTCCATTAATGAGTGTTTTTGAAGCTCCCAGGGCTCCTTTAATGAAGGGAACTGTGCAGATTGTGAACTTGTCATTACTGTTGTTATTGTTACAATCTGCTTTAAGAGGTTAGGGTGAGAAGTGCCTCAGACACCTCGGGAGTGTGCTGGGAACTGGGTAGATGAAAAGGGCTGGAGCTTATTATTTGGCTAGACTCTCAATTCCCATAAAATTACATAGGGTGAAGATATGAACCATCATTACAATTATCGCCCTCGGAGGGTTTGCTGAGACTTCCTGCACTGTTGTTTGTAAACCTCGTTGACATGGTTGGCCGTGAGGAGCCACAGAAACCAGTGGAGCTGACTCCTCTTTGTTATATTAACTCTTATGGACCAGTAGCATGAACAGACACACTGTGACCTGTCTGTAACTGAGACTTTTGATTTCTTTTGTTTGTTTGTTTGAGACACACCGCCCTGGCTGTCCTGGAACTCACTCTGTAGACCAGTCTGACCTTCAACTCAGAGATCTGCCTGCCTCTGCCTCCTGAGTGCTGGGATTAGAGGCGTCCACCACACACCCAGTTGGGACTTCCAATTTCTGAGGTCTGGCAACACATATAAATTGTGCAAACTCAGCTGCATTGAATTTCCTGTCATTTTCAATGATGTTTTGTATAGTCCAGGTAATTCTTAAACTGATAACCATGAGTTCCTTGAGGCACTGCTAGCATTTAACTTTCATTGATGCATACTTAAAGACATTCTTCACTGGGGCTGGAGAGATGGTTCAGTGGTTAAGAGCACTGGCTGCTCTTCCAGAGGACCCAGGTTCAATTCCCAGCACCCACATGGCAGCTCTATAACTTCAGTTCCAGGGAATCTGCCACCTTCACACCAGTGCACATAAAATACATTTAAAATAAATCATTAAAAAAAAGACACAGTCACACACACATACACACACACACACACACACACACACACACACACACACACAAAGATATTCTTCACTAAGGGAAATCTGATCCAAGATGCAACCGACATTAATAGAAAAATGAAACTCTGAACTGGGTATACGGTGCACACACCTATAACCCCAGAAGGTGTAGGGTGGAAGATCAAGAATTCAAGAACAGCCTCAGGGACATAAGGAGTTTGCAGCTAGCCTGGGCTACACCAGACCCTCTTTCAAAATGAAATGAAATGAAATTCAGTGACAATAAGGGAAGAAAGGATTCTCCTACATTATAAAGGGGAGCAGTTGGAACACTGCCTCTCACAGCAAGAGAAATTCAGTTTTTGTTCCCCTCAAGCCACTGAAGCTCTTCCTCTTAGCATGTTATTAACCAAAACTTTAGCCTTTTCTACCAGAAACAGTAACCTCTGGCTACAGGCAGATCTGGACAAGTCTGAACTTCCCCAGAGAAGGCAGGAACCCCAAGCCTTGCTCTGGGGCGGCTCCCACTTCAAAGGCGCCTTTCATTGAAATACAAACAGGGTGAACAACTGGTAATCTATGAAACAAATATCACCCAGAAGGAAGCTTTTCACATGGCCCTAGTCCTTCTCCTCTCCCCTCCCCCACCCAAGCCTCCAACAGGCAGGAGATGCACCTACCCCAGGGGGTGGGAGGTGCAGCGGGGGATGGGTAAGTCTTCTGCCACCGGTGTGTTGGAGGCTGTATGTACAATTGAAGACTTCACACGAGTTCGATTTGATTTGGTTTCTACTTTTTTTAAATATTATTATGGTTAAGACCACATGAAAGTTACCATTTTAACCATTTGAATATATACAGTTGAGAGCTGGGGGACTAGCTTAGTTGGTAAAGCGTTTGGCATGCAAGCATGAGAAACTGAGTTCAATATCCAGAAGCAGTGTACAAAAGCCCAGTGTAGAGTCACACACTTGGAATCCCAGTGCTGGGGGGGTGGTGGTGAAACAGGATTGGCCAGCCAGGTTGGCCAAATCGTTGTGCTCTGAGCTCTATGTCCCAATGAGAGACCCTGTCTCACAAAAAGCAAGGTGGTTGGCTCCTGAGGATTAACACCCAAGGTTGACCTCTGACCTCCATATGCGTCTGCACCCATACAAACACATACGGCTGCACATGTACACACAAATAAAATACACAGCTCAGGCACAATGTACCATAGCTACTTCCAGAACATTTCCATCATCCAGAAAGCAAGCCACATATTCATGAGTACTCCAGTTTCCCACTCTAGTCCCTAAAAGCCACCAAATTTGCTTCCTGTTTCTAGGGGACATCTTAGACAAAATGCACCTATAGCATGCCATAGTTTTCCCAGGTGAGGGGTTGCTCATCTCCTGCATAGGAAATGAAGAACACATTGTGCTGTCCTCCAAGCAAAGAGAGTAAGTTGGATAGGGTCCTTTTGACCAACTGGTCAGCTTCCCACACCATCAAATACAAAGATGGGGAGAAGAAAGTGGATTCCTTCCCTAGTTATGCTAAATTGTTTGTGTGAGCCAATAAGAGCATGTCCTTCTCCTGTCATGAATTCATTGCGTCCTCACTAGATTCATCCTATGAATACACTGTTGCTCTTCTCCATTCCATGGACAGTTCTTTCAGATTTATCCTTCAGGTTTCAGGAGGGATAGCGGTAGCACTCTTCTAGAAAGCCTGCCTGGGGAACTCCAAGCGGAAGCAGCTCCTGTCTCTAGACTCTGAAAGCAAATAGTTGCCAACCTTGTCCCTCCACAGTGTCTGAGAGGTTTTATTTCCCTCAGCACTCCAGGAGCTATTCCAAGAACTGGGCATTTTCTCAGGGAAAGAAAAGACCTCTATTTGAAATCTTCTGGTTTTCAAAGTGTGCAACTAGTTTAGAACTGTTAAAAGGTTTGTTTGGACAGGGCTGGGGATATATCTCAGTCAGTAGAGTGAAGCCCTGGGTTCAATATTTAGTACCCCATAAACTTGGATTGGTAGGACATGTCTTTAAACCCTGAATTTGAGAAGTAAAGTTCAGGAGGATCAGAAGTTCAAGATCACCCTTGGCTACAAAATGATTTCTAGGCCAGTCTGCACTGCATGAGACTCTGACTAAATAAATAAATAAATAAATAAATAAAAGTTGTTTGGACAAATTCCGCATATCTTCAGACTAAATGTCACCCAACCGTTCTCTTTGTCCCTTAGTTCTTCAACTTTTCTTCGAGCAACCAAGCAAGCTGTACCATATGACTACTTACTTTATACAAAGGTTGATTCTAGGTCTTGGGATTAACTTAGTGATAGAGAATTTACCTAGAATATGACAGACTTTGCCTTCATCCTAACACTATGAAATTTTTGTTTTAAAAAGTGATCTAGGAACTAGGGATGCAGCTCAGTTGGTTAAGTGCTTGCCTGGAATTCAGTCCCTGGCAGAACACACACACACACACACACACACACACACACACACACACACGCAGATGTCATAGAATGTGCCTATAAGCCCAGGTAAAAGCAAGAAAAACAAGAAGTTCAAGATCATCCTTGGCTACATAGCAAGTTCAAGGTCAGTCTTGATACTTGATGCTGAGATACTCAAACATTGTTTTGTTTTGTTGTTTGTTTGTTTTTTTCCAGACAGAGTTTCTCTGTATAGCTTTGGAGCCTGTCCTGGAACTTGCTCTGTAGATCTGGCTGGCCTCGAACTCACAGAGATCCGCCTGCCTCTGCCTCCCCGAGTGCTGGGATTAAAGGTGTGCGCCACCACTGCACAGCTCAAACACTGTTTTTAAACAAACAAATAAATAAAATAAAAAATTGGTTCAGTAAAGACTTTGGACACTTGGGAGATCAGTGGTCTTAAGCTAGGGGTGAGAGGAGAGCCCACATCTACATGGAGACAGCCATCTCAGTTTGCTTGTTTTGCATATTGATGGCCGTGCTTAATCTTTGTAAAGGAAACTGGTGAAGAAGTAGTGGTCCACAATACTATATGGGATTGCCCTCCTACAGCA